ATTTCCATTTCGCTGAGGAAAAGGGAGGAGGAAATTAAAAGGCATGAATTAAACAACACAGCTTGGACATTTATGTCCCTGCCATAAAGCTTAGAAGGGCTGAATTTATGAGAGTTTGGACCAGTAAATACAGCACTCAGGAAATGTGATTAGGCCCATAAATAGGATGGTTTATCACTGTCCTACCCTTCACCCAAAGCACCTCATGAAAGCATATGTTTAGGGCATTTGGGTTTTCGGTACTGTCACCCCCCAAGTCAGCACTTAAAGACTTGTGTCTGATGGTGGTGACCTGATAAAAAATAAATAAAAATCCTGATTTCTTCAGCAGGAAGTATGGTGAAGTGGCACAGCTGTTAAAGCGAGTAAGCTAACCGATAGCCAAGATCAGTGGTTCTCCATGCTGGTGCTGGAGGGCCGGTATCCAGCACGTTTTAGTTGTTTCTCTGCAACAACATTTGAATCAGTGTTTCACCTGCGCAGCAGCTCATCGGGCTCTGCAGGAGTCTGTTAATCACCTGCTGACTGAAATCAGGTGTGCTGAAACAGGTTTAAAACTAAAACTTGCAGGATACCGGCCCGCCGGGACCAGGCCTGAGAACCGCTGGCCTAGATATTATAATTCTAAAGCTCTTTTCATCAAGTTCAAGAAATTTTCATTCTACTACTTCAACATGAAAAGGCTGGTAGATTTATCACTGAAGTTCTTAAAGGGATACTTTGCAACTTTAAAGCGTTTTCTTGAGCCAGAATGTGCTAAAATGACACTTTGGAGGGTTAATGAAAGACCATCAAGCCCTTATTGGCCTCTGTGGCCAGAATATTCCACTTGCAACTTCAAAGATGTTGGTCTGGTCTGTTGGGACACAAAAATGTGCTTCCAGCTTGCTTCCTCCTGTAGAATGATGGCTGGGGAGACGTTTCAGCTGTTAGATTAACTCATTCACTGCCAGCCGTTTCCTGATCACTAACGGCCTTCGCTGCCAGCGTTTCTCACCGTTTTTACTGGTTTTTTAAGAGTCACAGAACGTTGCGTGCTAGGATGATGTCGATGCCAAAACAACCAAAACAAAGCGGAGACTCACCTCTTACATCAGGAAGAATCCCCGTGTTTTCAGCATTATCCGTTCTTTCATAATCCGTTGTCGAATTGTGATCGGCAGACGCTTTTCCGGTTCGCGCCTCACTTTTTTTACAGGAACGGCCCAAAACGATCTCCTAACACATGGATGTTCTGCTCCCTGATCACGTGACGTGTGACGTGTGCGGATGAAGATCGGCTTCAGGGCTGAGATGTTTGTTCTCCCAGCGCGGGGGCTCGTTCCGATTTTCAAACAGTAAAAAAATGCAAATTGGCAGTGAACGGTTGATCTAAAATGACGACTTTAGTCGTCAATGGCAGTGAATGAGTTAAGGTGCTAAAAAGACAAACGCACAGCGAGTTTTGATTTCGGTTCTACAAATGGACACTAGGGGGCGGTGAAAGCAAGCCAAAACTGTCTAGCTCCTCTTTAAAATTGTACTGGTCTTTTATTTCTAATTATTAAACTAGACTATTTTTTCTTTGTTTCTGGGACTTTTATTTGGTATTTTATGTAGGGGTCACCAACTTATGTGAAGCTGAGAGCTACTTCATGGGTATTGAGCCACACAAAGAGGGATACCAGATTAATACAGTACCGACCTTTGAACTAGAATAGATCAGAAACTAAACTTCAAATTTTGTAATGAAATTTTAATGTTTTTTAAAAGAAGATTGTAGCTTTTAACCCTCTGGAGGCAGGCGTTGCAGATTTGCAACATTAAAACCTACCCACCTGGTTACTCCACATACGTATTTCATGAGCATTTTTTAACTCAGAAGTACTCCTGAAGGATTTTGTTGTTTGTCATTTTATCAAAACTTATTTTGACCTGAGAGGGTTAAATCTATGTTGATACATGCGGCATTATAAAAGATGGCAGCAGAATTTCTTGTGATATTGTAGGCTTGTTTTGCTGTTTGGAGTACAAGCCTGTGCGCACCTCATGTGGTTCCAAGACCCCTGATTTAGAAGGTTTATTTTGTTGTTCTTTTTTGTAAAATGTACAGCTTTGCTTTTAACAAGTGTTTCCACAAATCCCAAAATGTAGACATGTTGAGTCATTGTTTTGTGTCAAATCATATTTGAGAAAATAGCATCATTTTTAAAAACGGGTGAATAAAGATGGTTTAGATGTAGTTCTGTATGTAATTAGGTGTAAAGTTTACACCAAGGTGATGTTGAATCTGAAAAACGTAAGTTTGAGCTGAATCTAGTGCACATGAGCATCTTTGCAGAAGGTCCACACAAGTAAGTGTGTGCTGAGGTTGAGAGGTTATTGTAATGTACCAAAAGGGTCAATTTTCACCTATACAGGTGCTGGCCAGTAAATTAGAATATCATCAAAAGGTTGAAAATATTTCAGTAATTCCATTCAAAACGTGAAACTTGTACATTATATTCATGCAATGCACACAGACCAATGTATTTCCGATGTTTATTACGTTTAATTTTGATATTTATAGGTGACAACCAATGAAAACATCAAATCTGGTATCTCAGAAAATTAGAATATTCTAAAGGCCAATGAAAAAATGTTTGTTTCTCTAATGTTGGCCAACTGAAAAGAATGAACATGAAAAGAATGTGCATGTATAGCACTCAATACTTAGTCGGGGCTCCTTTTGCCTCAATAACTGCAGTAATGCGGCGTGGCATGGACTCGATCAGTCTGTGGCACTGCTCAGGTGTTATGAGAGCCCAGGTTGCTCTGATAGTCGTCTTCAGCTCCTCTGCATTGTTGGGTCTAGCGTATTGCATCCTCCGCTTCACAATACCCCATAGATTTTCTATGGGGTTAAGGTCAGGCGAGTTTGCTGGCCAATCAAGGACAGGGATACCATGGTCCTTGAACCAGGTGCTGGTGGTTTTGGCACTGTGTGCAGGTGCCAAGTCCTGTTGAAAGGTGAAGTCTGCATCCCCATAAAGTTGGTCAGCAGCAGGAAGCATGAAGTGCTCTAAAACTTCCTGGTAGACGGCTGCATTGACCCTGGACCTCAGGAAACAGAGTGGGCCAACACCGGCAGATGACATGGCACCCCACACCATCACTGACGGTGGAAACTTTACACTGGACCTCATGCAACGTGGATTCTGTGCTTCTCCGCTCTTCCTCCAGACTCTGGGTCCTTGATTTCCAAAGGAAATGCAGAACTTGCTTTCATCAGAAAACATAACTTTGGACCACTCAGCATCAGTCCAGTCCTTTTTGTCCTTGGCCCAGGCGAGACGCTTCTTGCGCTGTTTCTTGTTCAAGAGTGGCTTGACACACGGAATGCGACACCTGAATCCCATGTCTTTCATGAGTCTCCTCGTGGTGGTTCTTGAAGCGCTGACTCCAGCTGCAGTCCACTCTTTGTGGATCTCCCCCACATTTTTGAATGGGTTTGTCGTCACAATTCTCTGCAGGGTGCGGTTATCCCTAGAGCTTGTACACTTTTGTCTACCACATTTTTTCCGTCCCTTCGCCTGTCTGTTAATGTGCTTGGACACAGAGCTCTGCGAACAGCCAGCTTCTTTAGCAATCACCTTTTGTGTCTTGCCCTCCTTGTGCAAGGTGTCAATGATTGTCTTTTGGACAGCTGTTAAGTCAGAAGTCTTCCCCATGATTGTGGTGCCTTCAAAACAAGACTGAGGGACCTTTTAAAGGCCTTTGCAGGTGTTTTGAGTAAATCAGCTGATTAGAGTGGCAGCAGGTGTCTTCTATATTCAGCCTTTTCAGAATATTCTAATTTTTTGAGATACCAAATTTGGAGTTTTCATTAGTTGTCACTTATGAATATCAAATTTAAATGTAATGAACATTGGAAATACATTGGTCTGTGTGCATTGCATGAATATAATGTACAAGTTTCACGTTTTGAATGGAATTACTGAAATATTTTCAACCTTTTGATGATATTCTAATTTACTGGCCAGCACCTGTACATTAAATTGGTCTTCCAGGCTGTACTGTGAGACCTCTTCAAATGGTCCCTAAAGAAGCAAAGAACCCTAGAATCTTCTGATTAAACATTCAAAGATCAATCAGATTGATATTTCATATTTACGTGGAATCATCACATCTTATTGATCATAATTAATGTTTTAATTGCTACATTATCACGATTATATTAGTAAAATTACATTTATCAAATCCAGATTACACACACAATGGTGCAATCAAAACTCTAACTCTGAATGTCTGTAAAAAGTTTGTAATTATTCCCTGTTACGTGTGTGCTTGTGCGCAGGAGTTGGGGTTTGGGGGGCCCGGCTCGTCTTGGACACAGGAAAGGGGGCCGTTGAGGAAAAAAGTCAGGAACCACTGATTTAGAGGACAGATCTTACAAACCTTTGCTTTTCAAACCAAGAGCAAACATCTTGAGTTGATACTAACTTGTTCTTCTACCTTATTTTCCACAGAAATAAAAAAAGACTCGTCCTACCCCCTCTGCTTGAACACATCTTACCTCATAAAAATATATTTTTTCTACCATCATCTTTACTTATTCATCACAATTGTCTAAGAGTTTTACGGAGCTCATCAGATATACATGTTTTAAGTCTTGATAAAGCCTCTTATCCTTCAGAGTTTCATTTATCTGAAATATTCAAAGTGAAAGCTTCTCTGAGCTTTTCTTCATGGAAGCAATAAAAACCTTCCTGCTGCAAGTCTTTTTATTCACTATTTATTTACATTCTTTAGATATTTATTACTGGATTATTTCCCTTAAAATGCTTCACTTTGTATAATTTTTCTTTACAATCACCTTTTGAAGAATCATTCGAACAATCGCATTAATGCTGTTCAGTGTGGATCGGTTATTAGGACAACAATAATAAAAATGTTAACAAAACCCCTGTTGGACACTAAATCACTTGTGCTCAGCCCATCCTTGCTTTCATTATTACCATGAATCTTCTCTCCACGTCCAGGTGGAGTGGTTAAAGAACGACGAGATCATAGATCCGGCTGAAGACAGGAACTTTTACATCACCATTGATCACAACCTGATCATCAAGCAGGCGCGTCTGTCCGACACCGCCAACTACACGTGTGTGGCTAAGAACATAGTGGCCAAGCGGCGAAGCACCACGGCGACTGTTATTGTGTATGGTAAGTGTGTCTGCATGTGTTTGTAGAAATCTTTAAAAGTTGTCGTAAATGTTAATGCACTTTGCTGGTTTATGGAAGGTTTTAGTGGCATGGTGTTGAGAATTTTACTGGAAAAGGCGTTTTTTTCCCCATCTGTCATATAAAATGTGCTTCCATGCCAACAGGCTTTGTTCTTTCTGTTAATTGGCTCTACTATCTTGTTGTCCTTTACCTATTGACCTAGCCCAATTAAACTCACCAACCTCCTACGTTTAGATCAGCTAATAAACAATACTCATATGTTTTAAAGTGGAGGATTACTGAGAAACGCATAAAATTTATAATTTTTTTTAATTTGATCGGTCATGCTGAGTTTAACATGCATGCTGAACAAGACGATGGTCTAATTCCCCTATTGTAAAGGTGGCCTGTGTTTGATAATGTGCATTCTAGGGTTTTAAAACACAATCAGTCATCACACACGCATTCACTCGCTGGTGACGATGAGCTACAATGTAGCCACAGCTGCAAGAGTGCAAAACAACACCAGTCCCCCCGACCACCACCAGCAGGCAAGGTGCCTTGCCCAATAACACAACGGCTGCAACAAATGGGGCTCCAGCCTGCAACCCTCTGTTACAGAGCTTAACTCCTCTGCCACCATCACCCTATTGTTCAGCCACTTCACACTGGGAGCATCAGCGGCACTGAGCGGCAGCGGAACGTCACTGCTTCAAATAGAATCCGTTATGAAGGTGGTTCAAACCAGCCGTGACACAGAAAGTGTCAGGTACATCTCAGAAGCGGCTCTCCGTGCCTCTAAAGGTAGGATTTGGTTCTGTTTTTGCCACAAAACGCTTCTGGGACAAGTCAATTTCCGCAGTTAACATAGGGCTAGACAGGAAATCACATAGGGTTTCAGTGTAAAGCCTCTGGTTATTTTCAAAATAAAAGACTTGCAGCGATGTCATTTCTTGTCTATGTAGATTACTCCCAGCATCTTTCAAGAAGTGCAACAGTGTGTTTTTTATGGCTTTAATCTTGGCAGTGGAGAGAAACAATAAATATGGCATCAAACTGTAATTATTATAAACAAACTGTGACATTTGAAGTCTTAGGGATCTTGTGATCTCGCAAGTCCAGCGAGGAGCACGTCGGAGAAGCCGCTCCACATCTGAGATTCGCAAGTAAACCGTTCTGCTGCGCTGATGCTTCCAGTGGGGTTGTTTTTCACCCCACACTCCTCCTGCTTCATAAAACAGCACCACGGAGCTTTTCTCTACAGAAAACGACACAAGGCATTTATTCATTATATAGACCACAGCTAGAATTAACAAATGTATGCTCATAATGTGTTTGTTTTTGGACAAGAGCCCCAGGTCTGAGTGAATCCTGCAGTAAAGTGGATGGAGAGATGCAAATACACAAAAACAAGAGCCAGATTAGTCATGTAACACTAGATCTCAGTCCAGTTTTATTTATTTCTATTGTAGGAAAAGTTTCTGTGGTGTTTTTGTTGTTGTTGTTTTTTTTTTTGTTTTTTTTACTAAAAGCTGAAAAAGAAAAGTTTGTCCAGAAGAGGATCAGTTCTTGCTTTTGTCTCTTTTCTTTGTTCTCATTTTACCAAATGCCAGTCTGCCATGAAGCTATGGAGAACAAAATATATATCAGTCTCTCACACACACACACACACACACACACACACACACTGAGTGTTTCCCTCAAATGTACCTCTGACTCAATTCTCTTGGAGGAGTGTTTCAATCAAAATAACTGAGCACGTGTGCCTGTTCGATACAGACAGCGAGAGATGGAGAGGTCTGACACTGATGTATCCTTACAGAAATAGATTGTTCAATCTGCGGTTCAATCTTCTCGGCTCCACGCGGGCCCGGGCTGACACTGTTGACAAGCTGGTAGAATTAAAAAAACCACACAAAACATAAGAGGGCAAAATGAAGCAGGCATGGATGGAGCGGAGAGAGTGGGAGAAAATCTTGGGAAAATATTTGACATGAAGTGGCCGTACCTTTAATTAACTTGCTTCTTTCTCCCTGGAGCTTAATTCTCTAATTGAGAAGAGAGTGGGTTCTGGTCAGGGGGTGAGAGACAGAGCTGTCGAGGTCCAGCTTCAGCCTCTTCAGACGGAAAACTACCAGTGGCTCGCTTTGACTTTAATTTTTCCTTCCTGCCTGCCTCATGTAGTCCTTAACCCCGTCTGCCATGTCCTCCCTGCTTTCTTTTCCACAGCAGTAACAGAAAATAATGGAAGAAAAGTCGTTTCTACACAAAACAAGATGCTGGGAAAACTTTGTAGAGGTGGAAACAAAATAGAAAAGAATCTAAAGTGTGCTGACGAAGGACAAAAAATAAATGAAAACTATTTTTTTTATTAGCGAGGAGTCAGATAAGTTGTCTTTAAGCAGTTATTTTCGCCTTTTTTTTTGCTTCAACAAGAGTTTAGTTGAAAGTAATTTGCCACAAGGTTGATGGTTTGAGTTCCACTTTGTGTTTAGTGGATTGTACATATTTCTGTATTATTCAGTGTAAACACAGTGGGGAGGGGGCTGTGACAGTAGCTGCAGGGTAGTTGAAACGCTGCAGTGGGTTTAGTTTTTTTCCTGAATCAGTAGTTTTGATGTGTTAAAAATTCCATCAGTTTTTTTTATTAAACCGAAGTTAAAATTTACTTAAAAAAATGTCCAAATACATTTATGTCATCTGTCTGAAATATTGTCTGTGACCGTATTCATACAGTATTGTTTTTTCAGTCATTTTAAAATATTAGAATTAAAACCTTATAATTAAAAATCATAAAGTGCAATAAAAAGTTTTTTTTATATATTATATATTATTTATACCAGTTTCCCAACCCTGGTCCCCAGGGCATGCTGTTAGGCATGCTTTCCATGCTGCCCTTTTAAACACTGCTGCCACTCACCTGACTTACACGGCTGAGTGATTAACAGGCCTCTGCAGCACTTGAAGAAGAAGAAGAAGAAGAAGAAAATATCATTTCTATAGCGCCTCTCAAGATAAAAATCACGAGGCGCTTGATGTCCTTCTGAGGAGGCAATAAGGTGTGCTGCAGCAGAGACATGGAAAACATGTACAGTGTTTACTGAGGACCACATTTAGGAAACACTGATTTATACCTTTTCAGTGGACTAGTGGTAGAGTGCCTGTCCTGGGACTGGGAGATCGGGGTTCTAATACACTTAGGTCACACCATAACCTTTAAAAAGTGGGACCCAATGCCTCCCCGCTTTGACGCTCAGCTTTAAGGGATTGCGTTGAAGGGTTCCAGCACCTCACCGCTCCCCCCGAGGATGGGTCAGCAATGGCAGAGACGTTATTTCGCCTGTGTGTGATGAGGACTATCTGAAAACATGCAGAGTGGGAGGTTTGCAGTTTATCATAATTGTTTTAAATCTTTCAAAGATGGGAAAATTCTATTGGTCCATCACAAGGTAAAGGTAGATGACAGAAACTTTTAGTGGTGTTATGAGTTCTTAGATGATGAACTTGTGTCATCACAGTGAATGGTGGCTGGTCGACATGGACAGAGTGGTCTCCATGCAACAGTCGCTGTGGACGAGGCTTTCAGAAACGGACCAGGAGCTGCACAAACCCCGCCCCCCTCAATGGAGGACTACCCTGCGATGGACAGAACATACAGAAGCTAGCATGTACCACACTATGCACTGGTAATTAGATTATACTCTAAATGTTGGAATATTTTGCAAAAGTGCATTTATTTCAGTAATCAGATTAGACTGAGAGACCGTCTAAAGGCTCAGGATTCTTTGCAGGTGTTCTGGATTCACTGGCTGATTAGAGTGTGACACTTTGAGTCTAAAACCTTTCCACAATATTCAAGTTGTCTGATATTTTGAATCATCACAATTATAACAAATAAAGGCTTATCTGGCATTGCATGGAATGAGTCTATCTGATGTATTAGTTTAATTTTTTTAGATTGAATTACCGGCACAATGAACTTTTGCACCATATACATATGCAGTTTCACTTGTTTTTAATAATTTCTAAAGCTACATTTGGATTCTGAAGAAAACCTGACATGTCTTTTTTCTTTTTTACTAATTGCATCCCGCATTTCTTTTCCCCCAGTGGACGGTGTGTGGACAGACTGGAGTAAGTGGTCCGCCTGTGGGACGGAGTGCACCCAGTGGAGGAGGAGAGAGTGCAACAACCCCGCTCCTAAAAATGGAGGAAAAGACTGTGATGGTATGGTCCTCCAGTCTCAGAATTGCACCGATGGACTCTGTATGCAAAGTAGGTTAATTTTTTAAGTACACGTTTTGTAAAAAAAAAAAAAAATTGTGTTTTTAGCACAAATATTTATCATTCATGTTGTATTTTATTTGCTACACTGTATATACTATACTTTTTATCAGTTAGAATGGGATGCTCTAATAACACATGGTTGCATATTTTCACTTCTGTGCATCATGGTAGATAGAGACTATTCTTATTGAGATGGACGTTTGACATCAGACAAAGCAGATAGCTTGTATTGTGTGGTTAGAACATGGACATTTGTCACGTTGGTTGTTTGTTGCACATATTACCTGAATAAAGTTCTCTGGGCTTTATGAAGGACAAGGTTGGGTCTCTGGGGATTAAAGTTCTCTCAGGTCTCGCGAAGGTCCCATCCGATTGTTTCCTGAGAATCAAACAAGCACTTTTACCAATTCGTGTCCATTTGTGTTTAGTTTGGATCTCATATCCATGTGAAGTAGGGTGCAGAACATTGTGATGTGACCAGAAATGGAGTTTAAATTGCTTAAAGGTACAGCACGAAATAATTTTACAGTGCAATAAACACAAAACAGTCAATACCTTTTATGCTGTGCAGTCATATTTGGGCCATTTCTTAATTTTAGAGGAAAATCTGTTTATTTCCTATTTGAAAGGGAATTTGTGTCGGACGACACAGCTGCGTGCTCGTTCGTGACTCACCTGGTCTTCACAAGCCGTCCCATACTCATAAACGTATTTGGCAGGTGACTGACATCCAAAGGAGAGGACCAATCAAAAACAATTTGGAATGTTAGATTGTCGCATGAATGAAGCCAGACTAGAAGGAGAGGCAGCTCCTTGTAAACCACTCTGATCTGAAAAGAGGCGCTTCACATTATTATTATTTTTTTTTAATTTGCTGGATTTTCTACAAAAATAAAACACAATAGCAACTTTAAATTATTTGAATCTGTAATCTGTGTCAGTAAGGCTTTTCATCGTGTCTAAAATGATATGCAGCTTCTGCCTAAATACCAGTATGTATATGAACTTACTGTAAACTTCTAAATTTATGTTTTTTTTCCTTTACTTGGTTGCTTGGATCACACATTTCTCACACGCCTTTAAAAACATATGTTTTGTTGCCTAATTAGTAATTTTTCTATGAAAATGAATATATAGTAAAAATGTTTTTGTTTAAAAAATACTCTTAAATTACAGTAATTTAAAATATGTCTACTATTTAAACACTTGAATGGCAGTTATTGTTTATTATAAACACTGTTGGGTAAATTCTTATGTAAAATGGAGAAAACAACACACGAGCTGTTCCTTATGTGAGGTACGTTCTCCCTGTGGGGAGAGGATAGCGTTGGTGGTTGATGAGTTAGTCGATGTTGTGTGTCTTGAGTAAAGGAATAATACAATGTGCTTCCTTAAAAAGCCCGTGCCGTAGGATCGTTATTGACAGAATTTGCTGTAGATGCAGCCGAGCCCGGTGTACACTGTAGCGCTTCTCTGATCCATCGGAAAGGATTCCCTGCAGCCTGAGCAGTTTGTGGTCACATAACCTGGGATAAAACCCAGAGAGGTATAGATTTAGGCTCATTGCCCGTGATGGATTTCCTGTCTTTAAAACGACAGCACAGACGTGGTTTTATGTCGGCACTAATGTTTCAGTTGTTTCCTGTAGCAATCGGAGTCCGTGAACCGCGCCGTTCCAGTGCAGGTAGCGCTGCATCTACAGTAGTGGGACAGAGTTTCTGCATGCTCAGCGCTTTTAGACCACACACTTACAGACGAGGGGAAGTTATTTTGTTGTTTATCCATCAGATTTATGAACAGTTATTTAAAATTTTGACCTTTTACGCTGACAGAAATAATCCCGTTGCTAAATTGAGGCGATCCTCATTTCCTGGTGTTAAAATTAGACATTTTAACGGGAGTTTTTAGAGTTTCAGTGGTTTGAATGAACCGATAAGGCTCTGTCAATTTAATGGGGGATTTAATGTTTCAGACAGTGTGCTCTGTAATTGACTTTGTGCTCAGAAGCACTCCTCTCTACTCGCTTTCTTTTGCTACTCCTCTAACAGCGTCCCCACCACCCCCACCCCTCTTGTCACGCTTCCCATCGTCCTTTGGTGCCTTTCTCCATCCAAAAGTTGTCTGGCTGATGCCTGTGAAGTAGAAATCCATGTGACCTCTTTTGCCCTCAGAACGTTTTCTCCGTGTCTTCCTGTGTTTGTATATCAATGCGAGCCAACTTTTGTGCATTTGTACACCTTTAACCTTTTATTTTTCTCTTGTTTTCTCTTTTGTGTTTTGACTCGCCGACTTTTATCTGACACATTGATCACAGTTCTTGGAAGAGATGCACTCTGAGGTCATCCTGGAGAGCATGACATTTCACTCCCAACCTACTCCGAGTCCACATCAACACGATTATGCGTGCGCTGCGTAGCACTTTCACCAGAACAAATGTAATCTGACGAACAAGCTTGGAAACAACCGTAATTGCTGCAGATTCTGGTTGTTAGGTAACGTTTGTGTTGGGATAGAAAGCTGAATTTCTCTTTTATTATGCAAAACAACCAGCAGGTACTGCACAGCATCAAACAATCCATCTCCACGCTGAAAGCGCTTCCCCTGCCATTGTGGTCTCTCTGTTTTATTGTTTTCAGCGTTGCACGTGAGCCATTTCCTGTGGCTTTTCCTCAACTCTTTAGTCTCCACTGAGCTGTTTTGTTTTCGTCTCTTCGGAGTTGCTCCTACTAAATCATTTATGCTTCATTTTACTAACTCCTTGTTTTCATCATTGTTGTTTTCCCGAGCATCGGTATTATGATAATTAAAACATAATAAATCTGTGTTGCTCTGATTGTCGTTGCTGATTCCAACGTTAATCATCGTGACATTTGTTGGGTGCATTCACATGTTTGATGATGATTGTGTGGAATATTTACCTTAGCCCATACTGGAGGTGGACGATATGGCTAAAATCATCACATCACAACATGTTTTAGTAAATGAATTATCAGGATTGTATCAAGACTTGCTTTAATGATTATTTAGTTTTGTCTTTGTTTTGTTTTAATTATGGGGCGTGTTTAGTAAGAGTCTGGAGGGACGATATATTTTTATTTACTAAAAGCCAGGCAATGTTGGCCATTATTGAGACTGAATTTAAATGGAAAACTGAGGCAAGAAACGTCTAAACCTAATTTATACATTTCAGTCAGCATGAGTGTGGAGTCGGGCACACGCATTGATGAGATGTTTTCTTTTCAGACTTCTCCGTCACCTGGGCCTGGTTTTTCAAAAGGTTTAGTCCGGATAAAAATTTTTCCAGATTTAGTCATAGTTTTTTTTTTTTTTTTTTGGCGATCCATGATCACGTAATCCATCTTTTTTTTTTGCCACTTTTTCAAAGCAATATCAGATTTGATCAATCTGATCTGGATAGGAACCTTTCAGAATCACCAAATCTGGATAAGCAGTTCTCAAACAGGATAGGAAATCACAATGTAGAACTCCAGATACGTAAAAAAGCAACACGCAGAATACCCAGTGTGAGGTCAATATTCATATAAAAAAAAACTAAAAACAAGAAAAAATCCACCCCATCCTCTTCCAGCGGTCCGCTCATCTGAGACCTACAACACAAACACTGTACATTGAGGATATTTAAAACAGTTTTCAAATATAGACGTATTGAACGAGCAAACAGGACGTGCAACAAGGGACCCAATAGTTAGACACTATTTCTGATTTGGATTTGTTTTGGATTTCAAATATCAGTGATTGCCATTCTTTGCATTTATTTATTTTTATTTTTTTTGGTATTCTGTAATCATTGCATGCATCATTAATAAATATTCTAAAAACAACTATATTTTCAGTTGTGATGAATATATATTTATATATATATATATATATATATATATATATATATATATATATATATATATATAAAAATAAATTCGTGGCAGAATATAATTTATTGTTTTTGGTCAATTTTGACAGCTGTTTAAGGGATTATTTAATGAGGCCAAACTCTTTCTACTTTGCTGTAGGCCTATACTGAAAGGCTGAATATGCTAAAGCCTACCTAATCACTGTAGCCTGATGCAAGAACAAATTAAATTAAAACCGTATGAATAAATAGGATCTCTTGTAAGATACTGCATGATCCAAATGTAGTATTATTTGATACATTTTTAAAGTTTTCATTACATTTTGGGCATGAAATCCATGCTGGATCCACCCTTCTGATGGGACCAGTTTAATCCAGATTTTTTGGATCAAAGTGATCCAAATCCTACAAAAACGTTCTGAAAAACCAAAACTAAAAGTGTGATCCAAATCAAAACCAAGATTGGATTACGTGCTCTAATCCGATTATTTTAGTAGTTTTTTCTTAAGAAAACCCTGTTTTCAAGATTTGATCCAATCCGTTATCCAAAGTCCTAGTGGATTATTTTTGAAAAACTGGGCCCTGGAGATTCTTGCAAAACAATTCCCCTCTAGGACAACAGAGGGTGTAGAGCCTTTCTAGGGTGTCCTGCCACCATTACTGTCATGTATCCAGTCCAAGATGGTCTGTTTACTATTGAATTTACATTGTTTTAATGTATTTCAGACTTTTTAACACAGACACATTTGTTTCTCATTCTCCTCCAGCTCTTCATGCTATTGTCACTTCCAAACCCACGTTTCTTGTCCTTTCCATCCACGAATGAAACACTTGCTGCATACCTTGGTACTTATTCAGTCTTGAGTGAATAAATGTTTATATTTTCTGACTTTTTCCACCATGCATTCTTCAATCTGCTCAGTGTCTGCCGCTAAATATCTATTTACTTTTTGACAGGGGAAAGGCGGTGCTGTTAATTTTAAAGAAAGCGGCGTCCTGATCAATCACACGCTCGCGGTCTCCGTCACTTTTGACAAAAAGTCAGAAAGTTGGGCATACCTCCGTCACCCTCTGTGAGCTCATCGGAGAGCCCTTTCGTCATTGCATAATGGCGTTGCGTGTCTCTGCACCCACGCAGACGGTGACGTGTAAATTAGGCTTAAGACACATCCAGTAGTAACGCGAGATTAGGTTGTTCCGTCAGAATGAAGGCGGTAAACAACTACTGCCACCTGGCTGTTGGAAAAGTACATCCAGTAAATGTTTACTTAACCTTTCAATTAAAAATGGATTCACTGCTTTTAAATATTGATTCATAACACAAACGATTTTCTGTGCAATAAACTTTTCTACATCCATAGTTTTAATGAACATGCAACAACGCCAAATAGACATGGCAGCCTTATGCTAACATGTGCTAATCATGCTAATTCATTGATGAGGTCTTGTCTACGTGGAAATGCAGGTTCTGGGTATTTTAAACATTTGCTTTATTTGCCATTTTAAAATATTCTCGTAAACATGGCACCATTTCTAGGCACGCCTTCCACTTAGAACCCTCACCCTAACCCGCTGACTCTCCCTGTCACGACCCAGGTGTCTAGGGGACCTGGTGCAACATGGCAGGCAAGGTTAAGAAAAAGTCTTGTTTTAGAATTAGACCATTTTAAAAAATGGATCAAAATAGGTCAAAACAAATGGAAACAAATCCTCCTAATGATCAGTTTGTTGTCTGATAAGTAAAGAGGAGGGCTCAGAATGTTTGCACGAATGTTAGCAACAAAAGAAGGCCTTAATCACTTTAGATACGTCTATACAAGACCGGGACTCCTCTGAGTCTGTGAATGGGAGAGCATCTGCTACGCCTAGACTGACAAATAATAACACTCATTAGAGTTTCTAAGTCTGACGAGGACACAACAAACCAGAGGAAAGGCAGCTCAGGTCCATTGCTCCCTGAGGATCTGCTTTAGAAGGTCTTTTATCCTCTGGCGTCTTCTTTCAGCTGCTGATTGTAACTGTTCAGCTGGTGATGCAGGTCAGAGCCAGGTAGAGCAGGAGGAAGCAGGTGCAGCCTGTAGCACACTAAACAGCATGGTGCTGATGGACAGCTCCTCCTCCTGAGGAGCGACACTAGGGCAGACTTCTGTATTAGATGGTGGTGAAAGCACTTGTGCCACCACAGAAGAAGAAACCTGACGTCTGTGCCTGTGGTGCAGACTGGAAACACAGGAAAGAGGATGAGGACGGCGAATAGCGACAATAAACTGGAACTTCTTCATGGAAGGGTGGGGTAGTGTTAACAAGCATGATATTCAAACACTCTTTTCACCAAGTTTTCCATTAAAATCTCTGTTGAATCAGTTATATTATGCACGTGTATTCACCTTGCCGGCTTATTGAAGTAATAATATTGAATGGATGTTTTGCTGTAGCTGAACTACAAGGTTATGTAGTGAATGCAGCACAAACACAATCAGGGAAAGTGCACAAGTCATTCATTAAGTTAGAGGTGGTGCTTATCAGATCATTGTTTCCATTGTTGCTCTGGAACTTTTTCAAAAATAAACTGGAGCTTTAGGGCTTCTAAAATGCATCCTGTGTGGATCCTGGGTTGAAATGATGAATAAATATTAATAGCAACCTGGTATTTTTTTAATGCACCTTCCTTTTATGGACAGGATCTCTGATTTTTACTAAAAAGGTCTGTGAGGAAACGGTTCATAAACACACCTTCCTGACCAAACACAATGTCTGCTTTTACAGATCATCAAAACAGTCTCATCCGTCACGATCCGTTATTGTCTCATCATCCACTTTATCACATACTAATCAATACCTATACCTATTTTTAGGTCCATGCTTTCCATTTCATCTGAAAAGCTCCAATAAAATACTGCTTTCTACCTGTCGAGTGTACAAGTGTAACTATATGTTTTTACAGTATGTGCTTGTAACCCCACTTAACCCGGCGAGTGTTCCCCCTCCTTTTAGTGCTGAATCAGCGAGTCTTCTCTAGCCAGCTGTTGTGCCAAGGAGCTTTTAAGTGCATCATGTTGCTATGTTACCTTTATCAATTATAAACCAGCACTTTAATTATACATCAATACATCCAAGTTCACCCGGCACAGACCTAGGGTTTGCTGCTCTCTAAGTGGATCTCTCCACATGATGCGGCAATAGCAGCCTCACAGATAAGGCTTCTAAGTTTGCCCATTTATTTTTATGGCCTAACAAGACTTTTGCGTTTTCATTCAAACCTCATTTGATATTCATTTTAAGCACAACTAAGTCTCAGGAGGAAAGCGGCAGGGACACAAAAACTTGCATGGAAAGGTTTCTGCCCTTTTATGTTGGCCCTGTTTTATTAGTCATTTTGTTCTTCAGTCATTTCATTCACTTTATTCATTCCAACATTCCTTTCTTTTGCTTGTCCCAAGGTTCATTGTTTCAGAAGTCCACTGAGCCCAAGAGTGGTTTGGAAATTCCATGTAAGTCATTTTCTGTTTTATCATCATTTACCTTCCATTCACCTTTTACTCATCTTTTTCGTTTTTCAGCCACGAGAGAACCATTTCATGTGTATTTTCCTTTCATGAAGAGTCATCCTGTTGTCAACTTGTTCTGCAAATTAAAGCAGCTTATTTGAAAAACAAGGAGGAGTAATTAGGGTTAGGCCGGTGATATTTGACATTTTTTTTATTTATTGGCATTGGTCGATATAACTCCTTAGTAAAGACAATTTAAAGTCAGGCACATCTCTGGGAAGCCCAGTACTGCTGCAGAATTTAATTTAAATGTATTTTTACATTTCCTGAATGACATCTGCATAAAAATGCTCTAAAATAATTTTTAACTAAAGTTTCCTTTTATATACCAGTTTCGAATATTTAGCACTTGGTCAGCTTACTGATTTGTTTGATTAACTTTAGTTTTAGGCCTGATTTTAACACTGAGTAGTGCATAAGATTCAGATTTAGTAATTGGTTAAATACAGAGTTCAAAACCGATTCAGCTTTAGAAATGTTGTGCAGCTGTGTTGTGTAGCTGATATTTTTAGTGACATTTTAACATGAAAGTAAGGTGGGAACACCTACAGTAGATATCATCCATGACCTCTACATATCGCCATGAGTACCAGCAATAGAAAAACAAATATTGGTCGACCACTAGTAGTGATGACAATTCACACACACTAAGTCATTGTTTATACTTTGATCTATGGTGACGCCTATTCAAAATGTGGTATTTAATAGTTTCTTGAAACATTTTCAATTGAGATATTAGGTTAACTTGTATATTTAATGCATTTCTGCATTTTCAAGTACTGTCTAGTTCTTTTCCGTCGATGGTTCTGTGCACAGAATGTGCTGCAGGAGTGATGAAACCCATTAAAGTGACAGTGTGTATTTTCAAAGGCGATAGGGGGCAGTAGATACCTAAATCATTGCAAGCAAGTATTATATTAGTATTCATGTAAGACCTTACCAACAGATGGTCATTAGGGTCAAAATTCCTTGGGAACACAACCTCCAGCAAAATAACAAGAACATCAGATTGCCTTTCACCACTTGCAATGAGTGAAGAGGTAAATGTGTAAAAGAACATTTATTAATGCTGAAAGTTTTGTACCCGATTGTCACAAATCAGTAAATGAACTCTGTCCTCACAGGCTTCTGTAGAAAGAACCATGGCATCCAAAATGGCATCACCCAGACCCCTAGACCCACTCCCGTGTATTTTAGACCCGGTTGTTAGCGTTCTATGTTATGAAACCGCCAATATTTTTTTAACAACTGGGTTTCTTTTAATTAATTTACAACAACATTTCATATATATATATATATATATATATATATATATATGTGTGTGTGTGTGTGTGTGTGTGTGTGTGTGTGTGTGTGTGTGTTTAAAAACTACACATTGTCACTTTAAAGTACAATCCTTTGGGAGCACATGGGCATACCACTAATCAGATAAAGTCATCACTATGAGAAGCTACAAAATGCAAATTTGTTATCACTGTCATGTCCACGGTGCAAAGGGGTGGGGTATTTTTAAAGGTGCCGAACACTAGTTTAATCAATACATTTGAAGTGGTTTCTAGTAGGAATACATGTTTAGTACATCATTCTCCGGGGAAGAAAACCACAGGTTAACCATTTTCAGGAACTAGAAGTGAACCACAACACTGCTGAGAGTCAGACAGCAGGATTTGGACTCTTATTGATGCTGCATAACAGCAACGTTACTCTACCACTGACTGTTTTGCAACATTGGTGTTTTATCTCCACAAATAACTCAAGCCTGAAGTAGCTCTGCTATGTGGTGGAGTAGCTAATGCTAACTGTTTGCTTCTTGTAGTTGAGCTGTTCTCTGCTGTTTCCTGGATGCCAAACCCACAACAGCCTTTGGCCATATCTCAAAACTCACATTTCCATACTTGCACCCTTGCATGATCCCGCCTAGGGGGGCGAGTGTGTGCCCAATTTTTAAGTGCGGAAGTTGATCATACCTCTTTTGCACCCTCGATTTGCGAATTTAAAAATATATTTTTTTCCAGTGTTCCACATCTTTAATGAGCTGTGTTGATCATTTATCTGGGGCAAATGTTTTCCAGATCCTAAGCAATGTCTTACGTGGTACATTTCTTTGCTTTGTTTTCAAAAGCAAGGTCTCAGCTTTTAAAACAAAGTTAAACTCAAGGTAAAGACCCTTAACCTATCTACAATCTGCAGCAGCCCCCCTCGATTTGTTTGATTATGCACAAGCCTGCAGCCAGTTTAAGTACTCCAATTACACAGGTTGAGCTAGCAGATTAATTTAGATCAGCAGACAGATATTTTCAGTGAAAATGCATTACACAATAGCCGTGCTTTGGTTAGAATTAATCGACACTCTGTAGCTGGCCACAATGAAGTATTGAACCAAAGCATTGCATGATTAAAGTTCAGGTTTTGCCTATGATATAAATTTGTAGGTTTTCTCTTGATTTGTTTTATTTCTCCACTGTTTGAATTTACACGAAAGTAAAAACTCTTTTTGTCCCTCAAATAATTTCCAAATGTCACACAAATCACATGTGGAGTTGACATTTGGTGTTTCTTCTTCTTTGGTGTAGTCTTACTGTGTCTAGTTTCTAACTCCCATTTTTGGTTCTTTTTTAAAACACAGGAAATGTTTCTCTTTACCTTGCAAACGTTTTGTTTGCTGAATGCAAAACATCCTCAGAGCTGACGCTGATGGTGGCGTCACTTCCTACTGCGTTTATCCGCGGGCAGCAGAGGACGTTGTCGCCCACTGCTGCCCGCTCGCCCCTCTCCGATGATGCAGTCCCATGCACGATCCAACGAGTAAACTCCATCGTCTCTGTTCATGGTCCCACATTCATGTCTCCTTATCTTGATAGCTTCTTTTATCCATCTTTTGTATTTCTGTTGCTCCGTGTTTATGATCCGTGTGTTGTCCCATTCCATTACATGGTTTTCTCTTGTGCAGTGATCTGTTACAGCTGACTTCTTTATTGTGCTTTCTGCTTCATGTTTTGCTGCTCTTGTGTGTTTTCGACTTGCCTCTTTCTCACACTCCTTTCTGTGTTCTATTGTTCGTGTGTTGAGTTGGCGCCCGGTTTCTCCTATGTATGTTTTATTGCAGAGTTTGCATGGGATTTCATAAACGACTCCACATTTAAGTCCAGCTGGTATTTTGTCTTTTGGGTGTATGTTTCTAACTGTTGTGTATGGTTTTGTTGGTGTGTTTATGTTGTATTTTTTTATTGTTGCTCCTCTTTTTCCTGTTATGCCTTTGATGTATGGTAAAGTTATCACTGGTTTTGGTTCTTGTCTTTCTGGGTTTCTGGTTCTTTGCTTAGGTTGTCCTTTTCTTTCTGTTTGTTGTTTTCCTTTGTTTATTGCCCATGTCGGGTATCCGCAGGTCTTTAAAGCGTGTTGTATGTGTTTGTGCTCTTGCTTACGGTCTCTTTCTTCTGTTACCATGTTTGCTCAGTGATATAATGTTCTGATTACCGACATTTTGTGTATGGTGGGGTGTTCTGATGTAGGGTCTGCCTGGTTATTTTCATATCCATAAATGCTATACTGCCTTCTGTTTCTGACTCATAAGTGAACTTTATGTAGCCTGTGTCGTCAATGTTATTCAAGTGTTGTGTTAGTGTTTCTGTTAGTCCTTTTGGTATGATTTCCAGTATGTCATTCACGTAGCGTTTCCATAGTTTTATTTTGCAGTTTGGGGGAGGGGGGGGGCAGTGGATATGGAAGTTTGTTCTAGGTCTTCCAAGAAAAACTCGCACAGGGTGGCTGATAACAGGTTACCCATGGCGAAGCCTTCCAGTTGTTTGTTATTGTGTTATCGTATGTGAAGTAACTGGAATTAGCTACCAGTCCTATCAATTGTGCTGTGAGGTTTGTTCTTTTGTGTAAAGTTTTGTCCTGTCTGATTCTGTTAACTACTATGTCTATGGTTTTTTGGGTTGGTGTTTTTGTGAACAGGGATGTGACGTCATGTGAGATGAGTATGTCGTTATCTTCAATTGTAATCTTTCTTAGTTCTTTTGCCAATTCTATGCTATTTTTGCAATGTTGATCTGCGTTACCTAATAATGGGCTGATGATTTTCAAAACATGAAAAAATTACTGAAGCCACTGCAAGAAGAAGGCCAAATAACAGAAAAAATGTACAAACACTGGATTCCTACAGCAAACATAATACCAAGAGTCTACAGAATTCCAAAAATACACAAACAAAACACCCCACTTAGACCGATAGTGGATAGCATAGGTACACCAACATATAACATGGCAAACGAAATCAGCAAAATCATAAGGAGATAAGGAGACGTGGATGTGGGACTATGAACAGAGACAATGGAGTTTACTTGTTGGATCGTGCATGGGACTGCATCATCGGAGAGGGGAGAGCGGGCAGCAGTGGGCGACAACGTCCTCTGCTGCCCGCGGATAAACGGAGTAGGAAGTAACGCCACCACCAGGGTCAGCTCTGAGGATGTTTTGCATTCAGCAAACAAAACGTTAGCAACATAAAGAGAAACCTTTCCTGTGTTTTAAAAAGAACCAAAAATGGAATTTGGTGTTTCTTATGAAGAAAAAAGGAGGAAGAAGCTTTTGAGGACATTGTCTCCAAATAAACTGAGTCAACTTGATGCATCTTCAAAAATGAATAGAAATGTAAAAATAGCTTCATCGCTAACCATTTCATACAGAATTTGGAAGTTTATTCCTGAAGACTCACACAGCACAACCTCCTGTCTGGTTCTGTTAATTAACTGGATTCTGTCCTTCTTTCCATCTCAGCTGTGAATTGATTCAGCAACAGTTCACTTTCACTATTTGTGACTTTGTTGCAGCTGTGGTTGTTTTTGGAGAGCAGCCAGGCCATTCTGAATCAGCGCCAGAGGAGAATTTGCTTTTACAGTAGTGCTGAATACCTTGTGTTTACAGACTCATTGGCTCTC